AAATATTTAGATGACATGATAAAGAAGAAAGATAATTATAATGAATGTATTAAACTATTAAGTGAATGAATTAAGGTTGTTAGATACTAAGGTATTCTATAATCAATTATATTTCTATTATTAGCAAGAAACAGTTGGAAAATAAAATCAAAGCAAATTTTTAAAGGTATAAAATGAGGATAAAAGATATACCAAGCTTGTACTCTAAAAAGTGAAAAAACATTGGTTAGAAATATTGAAAGAAGTTTTATGTAAATGGAGGGATATACATACTTATAGAATGTAAGGATATTTATTCTCCCCAAATTAAATCTATGGATTAAATACAATACTTATCAAAATCCTTGCAAGCTTTTTTGTTTGTAGATTTGGACAAAAAATATATTGGATTGTGAAGGCCCTAGATTAGCCAATTAAAATCTAAATAACCTTGAAAAGAACAGATTTGGAGGAATTATATTACTTTGTTTCAAGACTATATATAAACTGAGAGTAATCAAATATTGTGATACGCATGAAGATGAGTCTCAYATAGAAGAGAAAGTCCAGAAATAGACCCACATATTCATAGCTAATTGTTTTTTTTAACAAAGTAGATACTGAATGAGGAAAGGATAGCCTTTTCAGCAAATGATACTGAAACACCTATATGTTCATATAAAAAAGAAGTGAATCTGTTTCATACCACCCACAAAAGTTAACCCAAACTGAATTAAAGACTTAAGTGTAAAAGCTAAAACTAGTACAGAAAATGGGAGACAAAAATCTTTCCTCCCTTGGTATAGGCAAAGATTTGTTTTAAGATTCAGAAAGCATTGACCATAAAATGGAAAAATTGGGCTTAGTCAAATTTAAAATCTTTTCCACCTTTTAGGAAACAAAAAGGTGAGATGTAGATTCACAAAATATTTGCAAAATATATGTCTGGTAAAGGACTAGCATCTAGAATATGTGAAGAACTTATAACTCAGAAATAGAAGACAAAACACCATATAAGATATAGTCCATGCTTATGTGTGTGTGTGATAGATTTTACTGTCATATAAAGATTTTACTATTATGTATCACTAAAAAGAAAAGCCAAAAATTGGCAAAGATAAGAACAAATGTCATAAGATAATATGTGGAAATGAACCATAAACATCTGAAAGATACTAAAAATCTCTAATTACCAGAGAAATACAAATTTAAACCATGAGGTACCACAACACATACTGGAATGGACAATGAAAAGTCTAATTATAACAAGTGTGGGCATCAACATGGAGTAAATTGAGCTCTTATACTTTGATGGTGGGAGTATAAGATGGCATCACTACTAGGAAATAGTTTGGCAATTTTTTTTTTTAGTTCTCAATGGACCTTTATTTTTGTTTATATATAGTGCTGAGAATTGAACCCAGTGCCTTACACATATCAGACAAGTGCTGTACCACTGAGCCACAACCCTAGCCCAGTTTGGCAATTCGTATAAATTTAAGTGCATAATATACTTTGACCCAGAAATTTCATTTTTTATATTTGTCCAAGAGAAATAAACACACATGTCCACACAAATATTTGTATATGTCATAGTAGCTTTATTTATGACAGCCTAAAACTACATAATCTGAGTGGTCATTGTTCATTAAGAGAATGGATAAAGAATTTGTAGCATATTCATACAGTAGAATACTAACTACCCAGCAATATGAAAGAACAAACTATTGATGCATACAGTATTCAGACATGCTGATCAAAAGTAGTGAGACACAAAAATGCCTCTATGATTCTGTTAATCAAGTTCTGTAAAACTAATCTGTTGTCACAGAAATGTGGTYAGTGCTTGAGACAGCAGTTGGGAAGGATTACCTTCAGTGGGGTATGAGGGAACTTTGGGGGTAATGGAACTGCTTTGTATCATATGAGGAAGGTTACATATGTATACACTTATCAAAACTTATCAAATTGTACATTTTAAGTGGTCACATTTTGTTATATGTGAATTACTCCTCATTTAAGGTTTATTAAAATATTTGATTGAAGTAATCAAATCAGTACAGTGGCCATTATATTAAATATGAATAGATAACATGCCAGTAAAACACTGTTAGACCAGGATAAGAAACAAAACCTAACCAGGTCATATTTAGAACAAACAAACTTGAAAACTTGTTAATAAATGTGAAAGAGTTAGGTAAAGATCTGTTGGGCATGGTGGTGTATAACCTGTAATCCCATCTACCCAGGTGGCTGAGTGAGGCAGGAAGAGCACAAGGTTGAGGTCTGCCTTGGCAACATAGTAAGACCCTGTTTGAAAAAAAAAAAAAGTTGGTTGGGGGTGGGACRTGAGACTCAATGATAAAATACCCATGGTACTGGAAAAAATAAAAATAAAAAAGTTGGATAAAGATCAAAGGCACAGACAAATAACAACAAAATTATGTAATTATTAATAATGTTAGATAAGTTGGTATTTAAGCATTAAACTAAGCAGGTATTAACCATGATAAAAGGGACATCTTTTGAGAGTCTAATAGTTATAAGCTTAGATGGCCAAATAAAGAAATCCATTAAGCAAAAATTATGTGAGAAATGTGAGAGTAGTCGTGTATATTTTCAGGACTCATGGTTGGTGGCACAGGCCCATAATCTCAACTACTAAGGTATAGGCTGAGCCAGGAGGATCACAAGTTTGAAGTAAGCCTTGGCAATTTAGCAAGATGCTCTCTCAAAATAAAATGTACAAAGGGTTGGGGATTTAAACCAGTGGTGGAACATTTGTCTAGTATGGGGGAGGCTCTGGGTTTAATCCCTAGGACCACTAAAAAAAAATAGTTTTACAGAATTATATCTAGTAGATAAAATAATAAGAGTATATTATAAGAGTATAATGTTTTTAATTAACTATGTTTATATAAAGGAATAGTGGAAGTAGTGTTTTAGATTCCTGCAATAGCTTTTTTTTTTTTTTTGGTACTAGGGATTGAACCCAGGGGTGCATAACAACTGAGCCACATCCCCAGCCCCTTTTATTTTTTATTTTGAGTCAGGATTTCCCTAAGTTGCTRAGACTGGTCTTGAACTTGCTGCCCTCCTGCCTCAGCCTCCCAAGTTGCTAGGATTTCAGGCATGTACCACCCGGCAGATTCCCCTTCCTTCCTTTCCTTTCTTCCTTCCTTTCTTTCTTTCCCTCTCTCTCTCTTTTTTTTTTTTTAATGTCCAAAGAACTTTGCTTAAAGTTTGTCAGTGTTCAAGGTACTTGATTAGAAGGAAAATCTTAACAGATGAAAAATTTCATAGGGCACATTATTGTGTAAAAATACAAATAAATTAGAAAAAAATAATTATGTTGATTCCTTTGAAACCTGCCTCCTGGAGGGTTTCCCTGTCCTATTTGTTTCTACTGTAGCATTATCCTGAGTGTATTCTTGATCTGAAAAACTGGTAGTGGCAAGGAGTTTATTTATTATTGATATTCCTGGCCTCATATTGTTGAAATGCCTTAATTACTGGGCCAAAAAGAAATACTAATTGTGGCTCAGTGGCAGAGTGCTTGCCTCGCACATATGAGGCACTGGGTTCGATCCTCAGCACCACATAAAAATAAATAAATAGAGATGTTGTGTCCTCTGCAACTTAAACTAATTTTCATTGTTAACCATGTTGTCAGTGATTTTTCCAGAAGGCTGTAACAATTCACAATTTAGCCAACAATGTTTGAGAATATGCTATTCACATCCCCTCATGAACTATAGGTGTTTTTTTTTTTTTTCCTTTTAAATTTTGCCAGTTTTTAACTTGAAATTCCCTTTTTTTAGTGAATAGCCAAATGGTTAGTGAAAGGTCAGAGAGGCTTGAAAGGGGAAGGCCAAGAAAAATCATCCTAAAATTTTTGGGGTAGAGGATTGGGAATTGAAAATCAAATTTCATGAATGTATGATTTTGTCAAAATGAACTCAAGTATTAGATATAACTATAATGCTCTAATAAAAAAATGAAAAAAATGAAATAGGCTGGATTTTGGAAAGAATCTTGGATTTTGATGCAGATGAATGGAAGACAATGAATGGTTTGTTAATATTTTCAGTGTCTGAGGAGGAGTGACGAAATGTCAGTAGCTGACCCAGAAAATAAGGGAGGCAGATCCAGAAGAGATTGGCTGTTTCAGAGAGGCTGACATTGTTGATAGAAGAGGGAGGGAAAATGATCTGGAAATAGCTTTGAGAAAAGAAATAGCATCCTTCTTAAATATTAAAAATTTCTGTGTAGCTAGAGACTCTAGAATACAAAGCATAAAAGAAAAAGTGAAGTAGGAAAATATTTTTATAGAAAATATTGTATATGTGGCATAATACATAAAAGGAGCTCCTAAACATTAATTTGAAGAAAAAAAAAACAGCTAGTAGCAAAGTAAGCAAAGAATATGAAATCTTAGTTCACAAAGGAGGAAATGCAGATGGCCAAAACATGAGAAGATATTCAGACATTAGAATTAATAGCAATCAAAAGAATTAGATAACAGGGTCTGCCTATCATATTGGCAAGATCTAAAACTATTAAAAAAAACTAAGGCATGGCACAAGTATGGGAAAACAGGGGTACTCTGCTTATGGAAGAGTGGTAGATGGCCACTTCAGAAGCAGCAGCTAAATGGCCTTGATGGGTTCATTGTGTCTTGGGGTTTGTGTCTTGCGCTTACAATTATGCTGTCTTAAGTGTTACTGTTTTACTTCTAACTGTAACTATGTAGTCTTTTTCATATTTATAAATAAGTTCTGGTGGTCCTTTTTAATGGTACAAAGTAGGACTTCCATGTCTCAAATATTTAAGCAGTTTTTTTTTTCATTTCATTTAAATGTGTGTGGCAAAATTTGTTTAATCTGAATATAACTGTGTAGTCATTTTCTACTATAACATGCATTGGTGTGCCCAATCTACTTAATTTGTAATATTTTGAGAACTAATAAATTATTAGTGTATGAAATTCTGAGACTTTTTGTTTTTAATTTGAATTACAGACTGACTGGATCTTCGGGGTTTGTAACAGATGGACCTGGAAATTATAAATATAAAACGAAGTGCACGTGGCTCATTGAAGGACAGTAAGTAGTAATGGCTGACTTTATTTTTAAGTTTATTTTTAGGATAGAGCTCAGTGTGACATTACTTTTCCTACAAATGAAATTAGTAATTTGTACCATAAAGTACTTAAAATATTTCTTACTTGATAACTTTTCATTTGACAAGTGATTTTTGATTTAAAAAAAATTAAAAAAAATTTTTTTTTCTTGGCAATGCTGGAGATCAAATGCAAGACCTTGTGTAGGCTAAGGAAGCTCTCTACAACTGATGTATATATTCTAGCACCTTAATTTTCCTTGTTAATTTAAAAAAAGCTTCAAGTAGATTTAACAGAAATGAATTGTACACAACAGAAGTTTATATATTTTCAATGGCAATGGTTAAAAACTGCTAGAATATTTTTAACTGTTTGCTTAGTGCCTTATGATATTATAATATTGTGTTTTTTCCTAAATACCTATTTTGTTATTGTGATGAAAAAAATCAGACTAACCATTCTTACATAAATGCCCATTCTCTGGACCTCATGTATCCCTCCAGCTTTTGCTTCCTTTTTTTTCCTTTTCTTCATGGTAGACTGTTATGGCATATTTCTTAGACTTTTTTAGTCTGTGAACCTCTTCATACTCTTTACCTTTGAGGATTCCAAATAACTTTAGTTTATGTGGGTTATATCTATATCTATTTATGTTTTGTGAGTAATATACTGAATATTTATGTGAAAAATACTATTTAAGAATTTATTTAAAAGTAACAGCTAAAAACCCAGTACCTGGTAGCTAAATGCCACATAAATGGGGGGGGGGGGAAACTACTTCTTATATTTCAAGAAACTTTTGTGAGAAGAGTGACATTGTTTTCCATTTTACTAATCTCTTCAATGAACTCATTCTCATCAGAACTTTTATGTTTTGCTTTGTTAAATATGGGATACTAAGCAGATTTAAATCTGCTTAATATTTTCCCATGAGAGGGAAATATTAAATATTTGAGAGATGTAGGTAGAAATAGGTTTATCTGTTTTAGGAAATGGGAATTTCATGGATTTTTGTCTAGGTGCAAAGCATAAACAGGAAGGTGAAATTGGAAGCTTTGAAATAGTCCCTGAAAATTAGTGATTGTGGAGAGGGAGAGGGAGATAGTAGTAGGACTGCTGGCAGAATCCAAGTGTCACGTGAAGTGCTGAGCAGAGATGGGTACTGGAAGCAGTCTGCCTGGTGGYAGGACTTCTCCAGTACAGCTCAGTTTCCTTTGGATTCAATCTAAGTCAAAACTGATAAATGTTTTCCTGTAGACAAGGGCTTTTGCCAGGCAGTGCCACGAAGAGGCAGAGGGCAGGCAAGTTTAGAGAACTGACAGGTGTGTTTGTGAAATGAAGAGTGTGGAATCTGAAGTTGAATAAGAAAGGAAGTGCGAAGTGAAAGGGCTAATGCATTGGTCAGAGGCTGTTAAACACTGGCTGTCCTAGACTGCTAAATGGACTGCAAAGCCCCAGGTGTCATGGACCACATCTGTTTTGTTTCCCATTGCATGTTTAATGCCCTCTTGGACATAGTAAGTACTAAGTGAGTCTTTGACAAATGGAGGAATGCTGTTTATATACTATTTCTTTTCTTGTAAATTCTTTTTTTCTCCAATGTTTAATAGTTATGATAATTATCAATTACTATTTTTGTTTTTGTTTTTTTTTTCAGGCCAAATAGGATAATGAGACTTCGTTTCAATCATTTTGCTACAGAGTGTAGTTGGGACCATTTATATGTTTATGATGGGGACTCAATTTATGCACCACTAATTGCTGCCTTTAGGTAAGCTCAGTCATATAAATAATCGGTTATCATTATATTATTTCTGAACTTAAATCTCTGTCTTGCATTGCTTTCTTATGGGATTCACTATAATATCACCTAATACATTCATTTGATGGAATGAGTACTAAGTTTGGAGTCCATTCATTTATGTGCTAGTCCTGACTTGGTTCTTGGGCTTCTGGATTGGTTTCTGGGCATATTGCTTGATCTTTCTTCAGTTTCCTAATCTGTAAAGTTATGATAGTATTATCAAGTTTATCTGCTCTTCATGGTGGGGGTGAAGTTTACTTTTTAAAAAAATGTATAAATGTGAGTAATATACTGAATATTTATGTGAAAACTTTAACTCAGAAACCATGCCCATCTTGTGCTTGTGTTTTTCTCATTGCTTAGGTTCACAGGAATTATTTGTTGAATTAGAGTCTGGTTATAATTGTGTGCATGTGTGTGTGTGTATCTKTATGAAAACTTTTTAGAAGAATACACTTATACATGAGAGGATCTTAAAATATATTTTTCTAAAATGTATATCCCTTATGGAACTATAGTGCTTAGTTTTACATGTGAAGCTGACTTTGTAGATTTTGTTCCTTGAAAGATTTTATTTTCTTGACTTCAAAAAAACCAACATTTTTTTGGTGTTATTTATTTGATGTTAGTCCAATTGATGTCTCACATGAGTAAGAGAGGCAATAAAGAGTACATAAGAAGTGAACGCCCAAGAGGTTAGGGGACTGATGTGCCTTTGTATTTCTCCACGCTTTTTGCTTAGAAAGCTTTCTGGACATAACTTTGAGCTGAGACTGTAGGCTATTTTCTGGTATTTATTTTATTTTATTTTATTGGTACTGGGGGATTTTAACCCAGGGGTGCTTTACTACATCTGCAGCCTTTTTTACTTTTTATTTTGAGACTGGGCCTCATGAAGTTGCTGCTTGACCTCAAACTTGTTATCTTCTCACCTCAGTCTCTAGATTGGCTGGTATTACAGAAGTATACCACCATACCCAGCTATGTTTGGATATTTAAAGGTTCATGTACAGGGCCAAAGAACAGACCTTGATTAGGTCTGCTAAGCATTTAAGTCGTGATGATACTACCAAGTTTACCTGCTGTTGACTAAGAGCAAGTGTTGGGCCCATATACATTTGTGTCAGCCTTTGAAATATGCCTTGTATTATAGCAAGAGACATCTCAAACTTTAGCAAAGCATGAAAACTTAAGTATGCTGTTAGGAGAACATAGTACTTGCAGTGAATTCACGTGTTACTTAATTTGTTAACTAGAATTCATGGAGCCTTATTATGTGCCAGGCATTTTGAATTAGCTTGTCAGTATCCCTTGTAGGAACATGTGCCGAGTAGATGTGTGTAATTTCATGGTTTCCCCAAAGTGTGTATTCAATGAGCAGACATGTGAATTGAAATAGAAACAAGTAAACTAATAGGAAGCAGTTCTTGTTCTAATCAGTGATATTTAAGAGAAGCTGAAGTATATGTACAGAGAGTTGTTTAAGTGATACTGATTATATTAAAATTTAACCTATGGCATATTTGACTATTAATTTCCTAAAATTAAAATAAAACAGTATGCAAACAATTGGAATTTACCTGAAACACAAAACCCTTATAAAGCACTGATATGCAAAACAATTTCAAATAAGAGTCTCTCCATAAGATGATTTGTATAGGAATGGAGTGCAGTTGGGACAAGAGGACTTTGGGTAGAGGATTCAACCAATTGATGATATGCTGAGGGTCCAGAGTAGAGGGAGGCTGGCAGCAGGATGTTCAGTCAGGACCAAGAAACAACAAAAAGAAAAAAAACTAAGCAAGATTCAGAAAATCTGTCTGCCCAAATCTCTTGAGTACATCATTCAAATGCTCTAGAATGCAGCTTCCGAAACCGAAAATGAAGTTGTTTTATTGTGTTAGTTTAACCTGTATTCTCTCTGGGCTTATTGTAAACTATGTTTCATTTGACTTCAAACCAGTAGATCACATTTGTCTTTTATATATTGGATTTCTAAATAAAATCACTTTAACAGAATTGCATTACCATACAAATATGAGAACCACTAAAGCAATTTAAGACTCTTGCAGCACTATGATTTGTTGGGTATTCCACAGGTGCATGAGTACCTTGTGGTGCAGGCATTCTTCTAGGGTATATAGGTAGGAGATGCAAAGGTGGTTGTGGTGATTCAGCAGGACAATGATTTTCCTCCCTGAGAACATTCTTCAAAAGAACACTGTTCCTTTTAGAGTTATTATTATTTCAATATATTTTTAGTTGTTGATAGACCTTTATTTTATTTATTTATATGTAGTGCTGAGAGTTGAACCCAGTGCCTCACACATGCCAGACAGGTGTGCTACCGCTGAGCCACAACCCCAGCCTTAGAGTTATTATTTTTGAAGCAAGTAAAATTGTGATGATGCAATTGTTAAAAGACTGTGAACAGAGAATACCTTCTGAAAACAGGCCGAGTCTATCTACTTCTATGATTTTTTACAATTGATTCTAAACAATGATGGTCTGTGTTTAAAATATAAAATCATGAGCAACCTGAGGGCAGGCCATTTTTTATTTGCTCCAGTTTAATAAGTAGCTACAGCCCAGGCTGCACCTGCACTTACCAACTTCCCATTGGAGGCTGCTCAGGGTGTCAGCTGTGGCAAGCCTGTAGCATCCCTTCCTCACACACAGGCCTTCCTTTGTCTCATGTGCTGAAGGAGGCTGTGTTTGTTCATTTACTCTGTAAAAGTTTATTTTTGTCTTAAACCAGTTGTTTTGCTTTCACACTGGGAGAAATCCATACACTGCAAAGCTGTCACAATTTCAAATTTTTGAAGCAAATAGTAGCAAATTTCTAAGTCTCCCTGACAGTGGGAAAGCTGATCCACTTTCTCCAGTTGGTAAAGTCATGCATCCTGCATATTTAAATGTCCCCACCAAATGAAGAAGGCCACCAGATATCACTTACTGAGCACCTCCTAGTGGGAGGCTTAAGCCCTGCATATGCTCCACCAATTTGATCCTTATGATGTCACTGTGAGCTGGACAGGATTCCTCCTATGTGCATTTGAGGAAATTGGAGCTTAAAGATGTTAGTGACATGAAGCAAGGATTGGAGCTCAAGTAACTTTGATCCTGAAATTCATGCTGGACTAACAGAGAGTGCAAGGACCTCTCACTTGTGACTGCATTCCCAGATCTTTTCTGGAATGTGCCTATATTTCTCAWGGGAAGATTGCTTTTGACATACTTGTTTGTAAGAGGCCCTGCTCTTGCAAGTACTTATCCCTTCAACATTCTGGTACAGATGGAGCATCTCTAATTCAGAAATCTGAAATGTTCCAAATCACAGAAGTTTTTGAATGCTGACATGATGCCACGAGTGGGAAGTTCCACACCATGGAACTTTGTTTTATGCACAAAATTATTAAAGATATTATATAAATAATCACCTTAAGGTTATATGTCTGGAGGGTGTACATGTAATGTAAATCAGTTTTCTGTTTCTGTTTGTGTCCTTTCTCCAAGATATTTCATTATGTATATGCAAATATTGCCAAATCTGACAAAATCTGAGATTTGAAACACACGTGGTCCCAAGCTTTTGGATAAAGGCTGCTCAACCTCTGTGTAAAGTGAATGAAAACGTGGTGATGGCAAAACTTTCACTTAAGATTCTGACCAAATGTCACGTCTTCTGAAAGCCCTCCCAACTGCCTTTCTAACCCAGTACCTCCTGTTCTCTTCTCTGCCCTGTTTCCCTTCATGGTATGATCTCTGCCTGGCCTGTGTGAATACACACTTGCATGTAAGGATGTGTCAGGGCTTATTTGTTTCTCTAACTGAACTCCTTGAGGGTAGGGACATTGTCTATTTCACTGTCGTTATCCTTATACCTAGAACAGAGCCTCCCATGTAGTAAGCACTTAGTAAATATTTGTTAGTTGAATACCTGGTAGAAAATATGTCAGTGTTTTCTGGACACCCCTGGGGTGCCTTCCGAGTGTTAGGTTTCCTAGAGTTCTCTTTCCATATTAAAAATTAAATGGAAATCCCATGCCCTCTTGTCTTCATTCCACACTTATATAGTCTTTCTGCACTTATATACGTTCAGGTAAATGGTACCCAGATTCTAGGCCTGTTGTTTTGCACCTTCCTGCCCCATCAGAATGCCAGGGTGAGCTCCTGATGCCCAAGGCCTCATTCAGCAGCTCCCTGTGGATGAGCACTTGGATGCTTTCAACGTGTTATCATCTGAGTGATGCTGCAATTAGGATTCTTGTATATTTTCTTTTGTGAATGAGAGCAAGTATTTCCTCTATAAAGAAAGAGAATCACTAGGTCAGGGTGAATGGGCATTTAAGATGATTATGACCCTGAGGTGGGAATTTACCTGGTGTGTGCTCTAGGAAGGGAATGGGGTTAAGAGTGAGTAAGTGAAGGGGAGAGTACTAGTTGATGTTCATTCATCAGTGGGAGCGTGTGCAGCAGATTCCATGGGAGTTGGTAAGGACCTAGGCACTGGCTGAATGTGATGATGGGGGAGGTAAATTGATAATGGGAAAGTCAGAGCACGTGAAGAAATGCAAATAGCAAGTAGACATAGGAAAGTTGTTAACCTCAGGAGTAGAAAAGAATGCAAAACCACAATAAGTCATGTATTAAATTAGCAAAGCTAACTTAGARCTGGTAATCCTTCTTGTTGGTGGTGTGAGGTGGTGTGTTCAGACAATCTGGATTGATCAGACAGGATTTCAATTGAGCATCTCACTTCTGGAAAATAAGACCCTTTGATTCAGTCAGTTTTTTCCTTACCTGGATTTATTGGCCCCAAAGCAGTACTTAGTTAGAATATTATGTCCTGGCCTCTGAGTGAGGTCCTTGGGAGAGCCTAGGGAGCTTTTAGTGACAGGGAAGTCCTGTGGTATGCTATGTGTAAAATCGAACATAAAATGCCAGTGGTATCAATTAGGGAAAGA